CCCGCGCGAAATCGATCTCGCTTTGCTTTATGTTTCGAGAGGACGTAGACGCGTCTTCGATTGTGTGTATGTGCATGTGTGTGTACCTATCCTCGACTCTACGACACGATTTATTGATACTCGCACAGAAGGCGAGAGAGAGAGAGAGAGAGAGAGGGAGAGAGAACGACTTGGTTTGATTGCGTGCTTCTTTTGGTGCGTATAATTATGTTTTGGTTTCTGAGCAGCTTTTATGAGCGTGCTTTTTCAATTCTAAATAAGGTGCTTTTTAGTTTTATAGCAGTACAGTAGACGGTTTGCTATTGTATTTTTTGTCAACGTTGAGCAATCAACGAGTGGTCTGAATTTTCTAAAAAACAACAAACCTGTCGTGGTCTGGTTTACTTTCCCTCAGGAATTAAGATTACAAAAGACAACAAACGATTCGATATACGCGCAACGGCACAAAAAAAGAGACCTCGAAGCTTCGTATTCCAAGGTGGCAAGACAACATTGGCACGCGCCAAAATGGAAAAGCACAAGAATAGAAAGAGAAAAAGAGAAAATCCGAGAGGAAGGGGGAGTAGATCGATGGCGATTTTTCACTCACTTAGCTTGGAGCGCATCAATATGCATTAAGCCGATCGCTTCCCACTCCAACAACTCTGTGCAAGAGAGAGAGAGAGAGAGAGAGAGAGAGAGAGAGAGAGAGAGAGAGAGAGAGAGGGAGAGAGAGAGAGAGAGAGAGGAAGAGAGAGAGAGAGAGAGGAGAGGCGTCGAGATAAGGCAACCCGGAGAGAGAAAGAGAAAGGGAATCCGGATATCCTTGGCGAAAAGTCACTGCTCTCTCGAGTTTTTCGGTGAGAGTTACAGCTCTGCTGCGCGGGCACTATCGGCTCTTCTTTTTTTTCCTCTACTTGTTTTTCCTCGATCGACAGCGAAAATTGAATTTCCTCGCGTCGATTGCGGAATGAAAATAATATTCTCTCTGAGCCGTTAGTGAAAGACTGTTTCTTGTCTTATATCGCAGCGGAAAACTCTTTGAAAACCGCACAGGCTTCTTTGGCGGATCCCTTGAGTTTCTTTCAGGGCTAAGGCAGCACGATTTTGCGGCAGTATGCTATGCCGGAAGGACACCCAGGAGCCTCCTTTGGGTGCAGCGAAATCTTAAGCTCGTTCCCTTACGGTTATTCGAGCTCGTACTCCTTCTCTTCGCGCCCCACCTGTCGAGAATTACCCTTTACTTCGCACGATACGACGCTTGAAATGTCCTTTTGCTATCCGCATTTTCCGAAGTAAATACGCGCAAGTACGGCGTTAGCTTAGAAGAAAGATAGCGAGAGCAAGCAGAGGGCTATCGAGGAGCTGCTTTTTGTCTGGATTATTTTGCGGTTATGCAAAGTTGGATTCTTATCGAAAAGAAAAGACAAGGTTACAACATGAGCGTCATGATAGCATGATATTACGCTCTTCGTGATCAAAAATCTTCTATGAATGCTACACATTTGGAATCCTCTGCCGATATTACATCTAAAATGGTGGTATTAACGGTTTTGAAAGATAGAAGATCTTCTCTAGAAAATGATTTTTAGTCAATCGCTAGATATACTCTTTAATCATTGGGTGGGCTATTACTCTGTTAACTTTTTTTTTAAATTCCATCTAACGGTACTAGATCAAAAACTTAAAAAATCATTTGAATGATAATAGACAACGATTCTTTAACTATGCGCAATCACAATTTAAACTTAGAATAATTAATGAGTTCATAAAAAAAGCAATAAAAAAAATAACAGAATAAAATTGATCACAATCATAATAGTAAACCGACAAACGGATCTTTTGTTAGAATTTGAAAAGCTCTTGATTTACATGCGAACAATAATCTTTAAATGTACAAAGTGAATGTTAGAAAATCAAGTTTTATTACGTGAGCATGCAGTATAACGGCAGCACCCTCGTATGTGCCTCTCTCTCTCTCTCCATCATCAGTCTGACGCGCCTATTAGGGAAATCAAAACACACTCACGCATTCGAGACTGTAGCATATGGGATGAAGCCTGTACACACACACACACACACACACACACACACACACACACACACACACACACACACACACACACACACACATTCATACGCAATTGAAACGAAAAATAAAACCCCCATGTGTGCACGCCTAATTATTTTCGGTTTTCCTATTTGACAATAATTGAGTAGAATTATTTTTCGCAAAATTAATCGGGAGAAAAATTAATCCCTCGCAAATGAGACGCAATTATGAGAGGGAAGAAACAAGAGTGCCCGCAAAATTACATCGATCACATATAACGGCACTGACTCTCACATAAATCAATTTCCAAGCTCGCCCGCTTGCTCGCCAAGTCGCAAGAAAGGAAAAAAAACAAACAAACAGAAGCTCGATTTATAGAGTACACTCTCGGGCCAATTAGAAGCCAGCGGCAATATAGCATGAATTCCAAAAAACAATAAGCTTTTAGGAATCGGAATGCCGTATTGGATATTTGAGCTGTGCGCGCGGACGACGGCTAATGGAAAACTTATGCCGATATGAGCCCAAGCCGATGCACGCGCATACGCAGCAGACCGTCAAATGTATTATACATTTTGATCGAACGTGTCCCCCTTCTTACGTTTTTTCGTATAGGTGCGAGAAAAAGACGCGGGCACTTAAAAATATCCACGCGCTGATTCGCATGTACGGCGATTCGTTCTTTCTTTCGCCTCGCCGATGCGTATACATTCCGATCGTAATTATACCTGTCGTCTGGTAAATCGTTCATCCACGAAGCGTATCGACTCACAAATGGTATATCGATAATCTTGAGGAAACGCTTGATTTCCGAGCGCTGGCAGGGGGCTCCATCGAAAGCGCGCACAATGTCCAACGCGCATACACCCGACACCCCCGAACGGTTCATAGTCGACAGATTTGCATGCATCACTGCCACAAGCGCGACTGATTGTCAATTGTGACGTCGGTCAAGCCTGCCCTCGCCGCCAATGCCGTCCGTCCAGCAATCAATTAAGCCATAACGATTGATTGTTGCATCGTTGCGTTGAATTTTTTATTTCTCCGGAAAAGAAAGAAACTATTGTTTTTTTATTCTCCGTGCGCAAAACTCGAGGACAAAAAGTTTGGGAAGTCGACGCCGAGGTCTGCTTCGCAAACCTGCCGAAGAAGGCCTCGAGCAAGCTGGCGAATGACAATCGGGTTGTCCTGCCGAAAAAAGGGAAGGGCGATTCAAGGATTTCCGTAATAATCATATAAACCTGTACGGGCGCCAGTATCTCACAGCTTCTCTCACGGGGATTGAGTACCGCGAGAGAGCTGGTTGGCTTGACCGTTGCCGCGACAATGTCGCTTTAATTATGCATGTTAATTGCTCGGTCGCCCCGAGAGTTTCGTAGCCGCTGCCCGACTACTACGCCGACTCTGCACTTGCTCCGCGCTCGCCGTTTTAACGCGCCGGCGTTTGCTTTCCTTTGCGGCTGCTGCGCGCGCGAGGCTCCTCTCCGTGCTTCAACGACCAAGGTAAAAAAAGAAAGCAGGGTTGAAGTTTAATTGCCGGTAGAAGATTTTTGCAAGAGAGATTTTTCCTCGAGTTGGTCGACGCAATTAGTGCTGTTGCGGAAGGAAAATTATGAAACATAAAACGAAAATAATATTTTAACAGTTTTCAAGTACATAATATCAAGATTAAAAATAAATTACTTTTGTATCCTTTGGCACGACCCTCCTTATCCGCGTAACGAAGGAATTGGACATATCTTCAACCGATACACAAATAAAATCTCTCTGTTTACTCGATGTGGACGCACGTATAGAATCCACGAGCATGACATCCAACAAAAGTCAACTCCCGCATATAACACGACAAACTAGGCCGGTCGCGCGGGCGCGTAAGACCAAACTATCATTTCGCCATTGTTCCGTGTGGGTCTACACGGCTGAGCGAACACGTCACAACCAACTACGAGCACCTCAATCAAAGAGGCATTGATACTCCCCTTGAACCCCCTCTCTCTCTTTTCTTCTCTCTTTTGCTACCGTGCGCGCGCGACCAGAAATTTATTAGCTCCGCGTGGCAAAGGGCAAGCTCAACGATAGTTAGCGTTACAGTGTTTTATGTGCACTTTTTTAAGTGTTCGAGCAAAGACCGTAGTGTAAATGTTAGGGAATACGATCGTCTAACTTCTGTGTCAATTATGGGGAAATATTTTTTTTTAGGGGACACTGCAGACCCGCCATTGCACGCCGGATTCAAACCCACGAATAATTATCTTGAACTGCGATCGTAGTAGTCATCTCGATTTCCCACAGAAAAAAAAAAAATAAAAATAATTAACTATCATCCTACACCGAAACTGCACCATAACGATCAAAGGAAACGCGCAGTAAAATATCAATTGCGCAAAGTATACGCGCGACCGCAGAGCCACGCGCCGAACGGATCAGGGGCGTTACCGCAGGACGCGTGCGCGAAACATTGACGAGCGGAGGAGAAAAAATGAGTTTTTCACGAAACGAGACTAATTGGAAAGTTCTCTTTCTCTCTCCCCGATAAAAATTAATCGCGGACAAGCTGACTGAGTGAGAGCCACTGCGACACATTACTATCCGCGCGCGGTTATCTCCGCATATATATATACAATGGAGAGAGCAGCGAGTCTCATGGGAATAGTGGGCTTCGCGCCTAGGTATCTGTGGGTGCAGAGGCCTATTCTGATATTGTCGCTAGCATAAGCACATGCGGCTAAGGCAGTATCTCCCAAGACAATGCCTCGTCCCACTGCGATGACGAAGTTGGATTGTACGGTCATTAGCGGTCTTTTTCAGAGATTTTAGGTCTGCTGATGACTTTGACGAGTGAACAATCGTTTGCGTCTCTCGTGTCAATTATCGCAGCTATTTTTACGTCTTGATTTTTACGAAAGACAAATAAACTCGAGAAAAATAAACAAGATGTGAAAAAAGTGAAAAAACGGGCAGCACTCACCGATCGATGATGACGGGGTCGCTAGGCGTTTCATTTCTGTTGCCACAGCTCTTCTTGTCGCAACACCGACTGAAACAAAAAACGCAGTCAATTATTGTCATCCTGCCTTCATATCGTACATATGTGTGCGTTGCTCACACTTTACAACCTCGATGATTCTCGCTTGCCCCCCTCCCCTTCTGGTTTGTACGTACGATGAAAAAAAATTTTTAGAGGGTATTCCGAAGAAAACTACAAAACAAAAAGAATTGTGTCCCCCGAGATTTGGCGCTCGTATGGCCCTCGTTTGTTTCGGAGTTTTTTTTTTCGGTGACGTGGATGAGAGGCATTTTATAGCGTTTTAAAGGGCTTCGAACTTTCGTATTACAGTGGAGGCGATGAATGGGGACTGGTTTAAAATTGGATACTAACTTAGTAATGAATGATATTTATTTTAGAATATAATAGTGCTACGATAATGAATAACCAGGTAAGAAACGGTAACAATAAGTCTGAATTAAGAGTGAATATTTACCTGCACATGACTTCATGGGTAAGGAGAACTCGGCACATTTCCGGATTCTTGTCTTGACCTTCGTACATAATTGCCTGCAATAAAAAAACGATAAAATTTCATCGATTAAATTTGTGGAGCACGCAGTATAAGTTAAAATAAATGGTCGAGTTAGAATACTACATAAAATATATTCTCAATCGTACCCCCATTGAAATGAATTTAAACTCATCTTGAAGCCCGTAGCACTGATTTCAAATCTACCGCAGAGAAAACAAAGAGACTCTGTCTTGTCTCTCTTGCGTGTGAAAAAAGAAGGACGAAGAGAGGGGTGTCTCCCGCAAGTTCGAAAAACCAAGAGGTAATTTAGTAGTACCAGCAGCGGCAGCCAGCCGAGGGAGCGCTAGAAGCGAGCTACGCTTATACATGCGTCTTAAGCCTCATGGGCGGTGAAGGCAAATCCCACTAAGCCGTTCTTTACGGCGCAGGGCCTTTGCTGATTGATTTTTATTTAATGACGAGCGGCCCTGCACGAGCAGAAGCATTTGTGGGGTTGGCTGCCGGAGTCGCATTAATGGATGAAATGGCATGGCATCGCAAATGTGGCTTCCTTTTCTCCTTTGATCTGCGACAAGCAACGCCTACTTGGAAACCATAAGGAGAAGCGACTTGTTGTGCGCGGTTTACACGTGGTTTGGCTTCTTCTGTTATTTCATATCTTGTCGATTACTTTAGTTTGTTGTTGAATGACGGCTCGTCAATTATGTGAGTATAAAATTGTCAAAAAACTGAACGTTTAGTAAAAATCTGACAATGAACCACATCTCAACGTCACATTGAACTATCTAACAAACATTATTTGAGATTAGTATTTCGTTTACAAGTTTTGCAAATCGCGCTCTCATTGAAAAAAACTACTGATTTCAAATTCTAATTAAAATCAAAAGTGACATTATATAAACTAAATTACATACTTTATTCGATAGAACTGTATATCATTAAAAAGCATGAAAATTATTATTACACTGTAAATATGTTGAAATAACTCTTCTAAGCCATTATGATAAATAAAGTCCATTCCGTCTTGCGATGGTCACATATCATACCCAGGCAAACAAAATATATTCGTCGATTCCGACGTATCCATTCACCACGATCACTTAGAAAAAGGCAAGATAGACGCTACTAGCCTAATGATAAAAAGTCATGCAAGGGTGTAATGCCAAAGTAATTATCATAAGTGTTTACGCGCACGAGTCTGTAATGGCCAATTACATTGTCGTGGAACGAGACTAGCTCAAGTCTCTTAATAAAATTAATCGTTCCTTGTTCATTGCTGGCCTACTTGCTGGTCAGCACTGCAATCCTTGACGAATCTCGTCACATTTCGCAATCAAGATATATCCAGTGTCACCTCGGCGCGACGCCAAGCAAAAACGTTAGCCCTGTTTGCTCGTCAATTACTTGGACGTTCACACTGAAAATTATCTCAAGCGCAAATTACGCCACGCGCGTTGTGCTCAGCGCATATAACTGCATACAGCTTTGTTTGAGCACGCACGTCATAAAAGCGTCTCTCTGCGCGCGCTGCGAATTTTCGTTTGCCGTTCAATTAGTTGCGAATCGATTTTTCTTAGCACTTGGTTACATCAGGCTCATCGGATAAAGGCTTAATTAAATGTACTTTCACGTAGAATTTCTACCATACGGCAAACTCGAGGAGTAGCAATCGCTTGCAAAGTTGCTTAATTAATAAGAGTACGACGTATACTGTTATTTCTATCCATTCAGGCGATCTAGCTCTACAAGTTAAGGAATACGATACTATTAGAATTATCGTAAATTTCACAAAAATATATTGACTACAAGTGGCACTTCATATTCCAAAGATTCGGTGAAATTTCAATAATGAGAGCCATTAACATTACCGAATGTAACAGTACTGTTCCCTATTGATTTCGCGTAATAGCCAAGCAGCATCAACTTTTCCCTAAGAATTGTTGTTAATTTTACGAATTTGGACGTTTCACTCATGAAATTGAAATTATTTGTATTTAGTTAGAACCAATTCCCAAACATAAACTCCAAGCATTTGTTTACAGTCACACACGCGCAAATTGCATTGAATTCTTGGCCATTCGTCGAATTCCCAGCAGACGACGTGGGCGCGCGGCCTCCGCGTGCGTCCTGAGGGATAGGGCAGTGGTTCAAGGTCGAGTCCCACGGATAATTATACGCGGAGGCGAGGGCGCCCGTATGTATCCGGCGGGAGTCATCGCCCTTATTTTTGCGCGTAACACATAGAGCAGACTGGCGGCCGCCCACCAGAGGATGATCCCCGATACGATCCCGTGAGGCCGCGTTGCGCCGCGCAACATATACTCATACTCATACTCAGTCGCACCTCGTGGGAGGCATATCCTGGCGCGAGAGCTTTCGACGCGCCCGCGCCACCGCAGTTATGCCAATTCCCGTGGGAATTACCTGCCCGAGGACTAATAGCGACTCGCTTATCCCGCGTGTGACCCTTTTGTTCTGCTTTTATCAATTAGCAGCTTGGCGACGATGATTCGCACTAGCCTGGTCTCAAGACCCCACGGGCGCCTTTCGCGCCTACGGACTCGTCTTTCAACTTTCGACTTTTCAATGAATCTACAGCGACCGTGCAGAAGAAAAGCAAACGTCGATCCTCATTAGGAAGTACAGAGCTGATAATCAAGTCGCTCGTAAAACCTAAACACCGTTAATTACCTCGGTATTTCAGTATTTCACCGCGAAACAGCTAAAGCCCGCTGATAGAAAAAAAAATCCTTCGACTAACGACGCCTTTTCATCGGTACACACAGACGCGCGTATATGCGAATCTTCGTGGAAGCTGTGCGCGTACGGAACGGTACAACGCCGCGACTCGGACAGTCTGATTGAATCCGGTTGTTCCTTTTTTTTCTAACTGGCGGACTGTTTTTCGTTCGTTATGCGCGCATGCGTGCAAGTTTCATAACTGGTTTCAATTATCGACGTACGTACTGCTGGCATCCACTAAATCATCGATGGTCGACGCAGTTTTCGCGTATTTATTGTTATATATTCCAGAACAGGCCGTAAAATACCAACTTACAAATGAAAGAGTTGGCGAGTGCGATATACATTGCCGTGTGTAGTATAAAAGGGAGAGAAAATCGAGTCGAAGGAAATGCAATAAAACGAATGCGGGAGCTGCAGCAGCAGCAGCAGCGAGGCTGGAATAAGAAGATAAATTCGAAGATAGTCATTCAAATCTAGCCGTAATGATTTCCATCCCGAATCGATTCTCGAAAGTCCCCTGGGAATCCGACTCTCCCTTACACACATGTCTCTTCCCCCCTCGCGCTTTTGCAAGTGAGTTTTCAGAGAGAACAAGACCCCACTAGCGCGCCTTTCTTTCTCTTATCTGTCGGCCCACCGGATTAACTTATCTCGGGCTTATTATTTCCTTAATCTACGGTTAAATACTCATATTTTAGCATTAAGGGTACCGACGAGGATGCGGGGGGCGGGGGGGGGGGGGCGAATAAAGGTTGTGCATATGCGCGCAGCACATACACACACTGCCACGATCGAGTGCTCCGATAATCGAGATCGATTGTCATCGATTTCCATAGCAGAGAGCGAGATGCCTGCGCTTCGAACGATTTCAGTTTGATTTACAGCAACCTACAGTTTATTTTGATTTTTATCGCCGCTGCTTTAAAAGGATTTTTACTTTCGAAACAGAAGTTCGGCTGCGTCGAAAGCTGTCGAACGATTGTCGTATTCGGAAAACTTGTAAATAAGTTTAATGATCAACAGTATTATCGTGTACGAATTATCGTAAAAATTGATAAAGCAATTTTTATCGCTCTTTGATGTAAACGCTCGCATCGCGGGAAAACCCAAGTTAGAAATTTCATCGTGGACGCGCTATATTATATTTTTTTTGTGATTATACCAAGTAATAACAAGTCGCGATAAATAAATCGATAAATCGATTGCTCAACGTGCAAATACATTAGAATATTTATTCTATAAAATTCTGCTGCTGTATTTTGAAGATGCCCTCAAAAGTATGTCCATTGCTACAAACCAGATTGAGTAATGAAATGAATTTCGGCAATTTCTATTCTTTTATATAATAGAAGAAGCTAGACGTTATCCACCAATCCATCAACTGTTGTAATTAAGTTCTCTAAATAGAATATTTGAAAGATACATGATAAAATGAATGGGTTTTATCAAGTAAAAATAATTAGACATAATTGCTAGAGCAATCTCGAGCCTCTGATCTACTTAGAGCCGAGCGAAAAAGAAAAAGGGAAAAACCGAAAAGGAAGAAGCAAAGCCTCGTAGATGAAAAAAAAAAGAAATTGTAGCGTCGCGTCGCAACTGCCTCGTAAACGCATCCCCAAGCTAATTAGCGTTTAGCATTTTTAATCTAAAGCCGCGCTAATTTTGCGTCGTGCGCGAGGAGCCGCGATCAGCGACGCTATACGGGCAGACGATAAGGGAGCGGGAGGACGTTTTTTAATTAATTTTTCTCGATTGGCGTCGTCGGCGTCGCATCCAGCCACCCCAATTTGCATTCCGCATACATAATGAAAGGCCGACGCGCAGCAGCAACTGCATCCTGCGAGTTACACGAAATTGAATACAAAACGCTATAAACACAATTACTCCGCGCGTACACCGATCGCCCGCACAGCTAATAGTAGTAGTAGTCGAGCGGGCGAAAAGAGAGCGAGGTTTATTCTTGCTTTTTTTCTTATTCGAGAGAAATATCGAAGAAAAGGCCAATTATAACGGATTTACAGCGGTGAATTTGCATGACGTTGTAAAGTTGGCGCTGCGATTCTCGTAAAATGCTTCTCTCTCTCTCGCTCTCTCTTTCTCTCTCTTTCTTTGTTCGCACGGGTAAGCACGACGGCGGGAACGATAGAGAAAGAGAAATTTTATCGCGGATGGGTTATGGGAGATTTGTTTTGTAATTGTTACACTCTACGTTTGTCCTTATATGACGATTGCTCTCTGCAGAAGTTGGAATTTATATAGTAGAATGAATAGTATTGAATTGGGCAATAACATAAAATAGTACCTTTCAAGCATAAACGTTATCCTGGACATTGTTTATTCTTTTTCAAAGAATTCCAACTAAAGCAAGTAAACGAACTTATTCCCGTTCTCTCACATAACACACTAATCGTCTAATGAGAGAGGCTAGATACTATCCACGTAGAGTCGCGACGACGAACTATATATATACTAGAGAAGAAGGTGAAAAAAAAATCTATAAGACTAGTAGCATTCGAGTCGATTAATATAAGGAATGGATCGCTGTGCGAATCTTGGCCGTCGTGCAAGCCCGTCGCGGCTTAATAATTTAATCAGCTAAAACTAACATCGACCCTTTTCTCGGCGAGCACGCGCGCGTCTCTTTCATTCTTTCTTCGAGCAGCGTCGAGGCACCGATACCCGGTGAGATGATTTAATCTCGCTAAAACGGCCTGTCTCTCTCCTTCTCCGGGCCCTTCTTTTTTCTTTCTTTTTTCCTTTGCCACTGACGACGACGACGACGACGACGACGACGACACGAGATGGAACCTTCGCCTAGTATATACACTAAATCATTTGATCTGAGTGATTAATATAATTGGAATGACCGTGAATGATTTTCAATTGCCGAAAGATTGCACGTTCCTTCAATGAAATCCGTACGTCAGACTTGCGACTGAAAATTCAAATTTCTATGCTCAAAATTTCCGTCAATTCTATCTATGCCAAAAATTCACTTTATTTTTTTGAAATTTCCAAAAAAATAATTTAAAAATTTTGTTTTCCTAGTTTAGACTTTCCTCTTTTTCATAATCACCATAGTTTTTACAAAAATGTTTGTTCGATTCTTAAAAGCTTAATTGAGTTTTATTTATAATTTATGTGATATTGATGTAGTGATTACTTATCGACTTTTGTTTCTCGAGACTAATACTAGATTAATTTCATTTAAAATTATTTATAACTTCAAAATTCAATGAGGTATCAAGAAAAAAATTAAAATAAACAATTCGCTAACCTTTTGTTTTCTAAGAATGTATTTATGAATTACACAATAAAATAATTTAATAAATATATCGATTTATGGAATGCAGATGTATTTTTATATTTACGTGTACGTTCCTTTTTCTTCTACCTTTATAGTAACTGATTATTCAAAATTATTTATAAAAAATACATGAGTGCATGTTAGTTACACATATTTATGGGAGAATTTCGAAATGACTTAAAATATTTATAATTAAAAATTTGATTTATTTCCCGATATGAATTTTTCAAAAATTAAACTTGAAACCTTAATTCGTCTCACTACCAAGTTTTCTCTCTTTCAAACAAATAACAGACAAAAACGGCTAAAACATTGTGTTAGAGATTCATATCGCTGAAAATACAGAGTGCACACGGTGCATTGTAGTAGGTGCTAATGCGAAGTGCCCGCGGCACACAGCGCACACACACACACACACACACACACACACACAAAAAGGTGACTCGTCTCGTTCCCCTCCTCACTCGTACCACACGGTTATCGTGGCTTCGCGATCAACGCGTGTATTTGCGTTTGCTCGAAGGTTATGATCCTTCTTAGGCCGATATATATCTCTGGGCTCTCTCACTCCCTTTTTGGCGCGTGCCGCTTGAAAATCGTGGGAGAACGCCAGACTACAGATAATGTCGAGATTGTGACGTTCACGTTGATAAACAAATTAAGTATACATCTCGATATGCTTTTTTTTCTTCGGAATGTGTATAATATGGAGATTCGGCGGTTGATTTATGTATGTTAATGGGGAACTCATGATTTTAAAAAGCCGCAAGAATGTGTCAGATATTCGCAGGTGGCTCTTTTTTGAAGATTATCTGTGGGTGAAAAGTTTGATGTTTCCGTTACTCAGCGTATTATTTGTTCAGATTATTTTTTATTTATGCTTTAAGCCTTGGATTATCTCAAAACACCGACGTTGTTTGCTTTAACTAAAAGGAATAAAACAGATTTCAACTTTTTCTTTCAGTGCAGCAAAAATAAAATCAAACCGAACAAATCTTTAAAAATTTCTGGTAGAACATACATAACTCAATTATCTTAAAAAACTAAAACTTCATCCAGCTTGTACTTCAAAATACGAAGAATAAATAACAAAAAAAGAACAAAAAAAAGAGTGAGAGAGGAAAGCTCGCACAGGTCTGTAAAAAGAGTCAAGCTTGCATCGCAGCACGAGAGAGAGAGAAAGAGAGAGAGAGTACAACAGACAGGGTAGATTCGCCACGTGGCGCGCAGATAACGTATAGAGCGAGCGCGAGGGAGGGAGGGGGGGGGGTCTCTCGTGCGCGTAGGGTTGGAAATCAACCTCCCGGAAAATTAAACGCTTGTAGCGGCAACGATAACGGCGTCACACACAGCGTCGAAACAGCCGGAGGGCTTTTCGCGCATGCGCCCTTTAATGTCATACATACACGCGAAAAGAGGTACCGCAGCGTAGCGATGGTCGATCCTCCGCGTGGATGCTGATGTTGTTTACGTGTATAAATTAATTTTCGCGTAACACGGAGTTGATGGATGACGTTTGATATTTGTATACCCCATCTACTTCCTTTTGTTCGTCAAGTATCGTTATTATCCTGAGTGTTTTTCCTCGGGATATATAAAAGCTTGCGTCACTTTACACTTTATGCGCGCGCGAATGGATATTATAATAGTTAATTTGGAAGATTACCTGTTTCGTGACGGAGTCGATCAGTCTGACGAATATATCCTGCTCTTGTCTCACACCTGAAAAATGACAAACAACAAATTTCAATTAATTATCCAGATGACATGTTCTATTCGAGTTAAATCATCTTGATTTGTGTAACATTTTTTAGTAGCAGGACTATTTGTTTGGAAATGGTGCGCGTAATGTTTGCGCACAGTGAACTGTAAGCTAAGTATTCAGCTTATATATACGAGCGGCAGACAAGCGCATGCCAATAACTTAGCTATAAAATTGTAGAGGTGAAACTTGCTCTCACAGTGGCGCGTCGTCCGGAAGAAACGCACGGCACGCGCAAATAAAAAACTCAAGTAACTCATATACGGTCAATCAGAGAACCAACACTATACTCGTTTGCGGGACGGCATTCATCGCCAAAACGATACCACGCTGAGCGACCCAAAAACCTCTCCACGGCGGCGGTAGCGGCGACTTCTCTCTGAGATAAACTCTCTCGAGCAAAAAGCTGCATATTAAAAAACCCAGCGGCAGCAACCGACCGACCCGATCTTCCCGCCGCCGTCTTTTTATATACGCTTTGCTGCACTCCTTTTGACTCTTTAAGGCATTATAAGTTCGCGCTGCGGAAATCCGCAGCAGCACACGCGCGACCGCACGAGTGTTAATTTATCGTGCCTTTTGCCGATTTTTGTCCAGCCCTAATTGTCCGGCGCAATCTTTTTACAAGCCTGAAGGAGAGATAATTAAAATATCTGCGATTCCGTTGGTCAACTTTTTTTTCCTCTCTGTCACGAGGCGCGGCAAAGAAAAACGAGTTAGAAAGAGAGAGAGAGAGAGAGAGAGAGAGAGAGAGAGAGAGAAGGAGAGAGTCGTTTGAGCAATTAGTGACATTTATACATACTTTGTTGGCGCCGAGCCTATATACGTTTGGGTTCGCTGTGCTCATTTTTGAAATAGTCGACCACGAATGGCGCGCTCGAAATTTCATAACACGACCAAAAGTTTCTGACAATCATATTATAGTAAATTAATGAATTTTATCCTTCGTACAGCTGGAATTCTCACCTCGATAAATCAGTCTACACATATCCCAAGTTTCAGAATGGACAAAGTCCATCGTAATCCAGGTGGAAAGACTTAATAGTGCAGTAGCAGCAAAGTCGAGAACTTGTATCGCGCAAGTTTCAGCGAACCGCAGAGGCTTATACAGGGCTACGGATTATGATATTGCGCTCTCCCAGTTCGCGCACAAATTACCTTCGAGAAGGCTGATGGTCGCGGCTTAAAGGGTTTACCTTTGCGGCCGAGCCGCGTGACCGCGGAGGTGTCTGTGGTGGTGCCAGGCACAGTACCTCTCTTCCGTATAGATTGAATTTTACGTCCAAGTTCGCTTTACAGAGCTACAACTTGAAATTAGTGATATCGCGCTCGTGGGCTTTTGCTTGTTTGTTGCTCTGGTTTTCTCATTGATTCGTTATTATTCTACATATAACGATGTCCATCGATCGTCACGTTGGAATAAGGGTTTCTCAAAAAATTAAAATTCCTTTGGTAATCAGTTTGATAGCTTTGAAAGAGTAGCGCATTACTCGACGCATCGGTAAAAACGTCTCTATCGTCAGTTCGTTCGCCTCTACTTTGTCATTCGCTCGAATCCGCGTGGCGACGGCGGCGGTGGTCAGGGAAGCACGCCGAACTGGCAAAAAAGAGACTCGGCCCCGTACAACAAAAAGCTTACACTTGAAACCCAACATGGAGTGGATGCAGTATATATACAATGAATCGCTGGCTCGCTTATTATTTATAATTATGGCTTTTTACTCTTCTTCGCAAGTTATATTTGAGTCAATTACACGACGAGTCGAATGAAAACGTTGCAAGTCTAGAATAAAAATTCGACGATTAATTAGCTCTTGTGTGTGCGTGTGTGTGTGTGTGTGTCTACAGCGGACGATACGAGTTTCGTAATAATGCTTGTAAACGTCGCTTATTAAAGCTTGTGAGATTTAAAAGAGGCGCTTTTTCTGCTGTCGCGCTGACAGAAAGAGAAAAAAAACAAGCTTGCGGCAGTGACCGCAGTTAATCAGAGCAAATTAGAGCTGATCGCGGAATCGTTTAGTGAACTCGTTGAAAGGCAATTTCTTGCGATACTCACGACGAGAATTCATTTACAAAAATGGAAAGTCACGGCGACACCACCCCGAAACTACGCCGATGGAATAAATTATGACAGGTGCGACAGCGAGAAGAAAAAAAGAAATAAAAAAACTCGATCAAATATGTCTCTGTTGTGCGCTTTGACAATTCCGAAAATTCTCGGGAGTTTTTAGCCGACTGGCGCTGCCTGTGCGCTTTGCGGAATGTTGATGGCTCGCGACGTGTGACGCAAAGCGGGACATTCCGCGATCGATTCGCACGACGAGCCAGCTGGCGCACTCGCATGAAAGAGAGTTCTCGTTTTCTCTCTCTCTCTCTCTCTCTCTGTCTCTCGCTCTTGGATTTTTTCCTTTGGGGGCCGGGTTTTTAGGACGGGCTTTTGTGCTCGCGCTTTGCGGTAGGTCAAGTGTGTCGTCTTTCTATTTAGATCCTCGCTGATATTTTGTTTGCGCGAGCTTTCATTGCATGCACATTGAATATTATGAGCGGCGATGAAATTCCCGCGACGAACCCTTAATTTTGCCTAGTAGATGGCAATCAAAGCGTAACAATCCCCGCACACTGAAAGAACCTTTATACAATGTCAAATGATCGATTACGAAATTGGTTATGAATATCTATTTACGAAACGAGCTTCAAGGTGCAAGTCAGAATTTTTTCAGTAATCACTCACCGTTCGAGTACAGAAGCTGGAGTCGATACTGAATGCCGTTGTTGGTCTTCTGACCCTCGGACTCCTGCAACAAAAGTACGAAAAACGATCCTTTTAGAAATGCTCTTAAACAACGAAAGAATATGAAAGAAAATTCAGCCAATAAAATGTAGCCAACAACTTCCATCTCAATTAATTAATCCCTTTCCCTTTCGCTAAGTACTTTGCTCTCTTATACGGCAAGGTAAGGGGCCGGGGGGACAAATCGCGTCGCCTATCGAGCTAATAAAAGCGACGTGCTATATCAAGCTCTCTGATTAATTAGGGAACATTTACATTTACTATGCATGCATACACACACGAGGCAAATGGGACTTGCGGAGACATATGTATACATCGTGCGTCTAATTATTAATTTCTTGATGTGCCTCCTCCCCCTTCTCGACGCGCGAGCATCGCGTGCATAATTATGCTGACGAGTCGCATGCACGCGCGCAAGCTTGCATCCCTATATGACTGTACACGCTCATGGTGTAATGCATTTCGAGTGGGAAGCAATTTTTTTCCTGACACGTGAAACTCGTCGTTGCGATGTGCGTGTTGGATTGGCTCTCTTCGGCGTAGAGGCTCTTTAGTGCCTAACTTATCTGAGCTGCTGCTTGATTTCGAATGGATTTGGACTTTATTACAGAAATTAAATAATAGCTGGCTACTACATTACATTAAATAATGTTGTAATTTATGATCGGTAATCTTGAAAGTTCAAGCGATTTTGAATATTGGTGAGAAAATTTATACGAGAGACAGTACGGAATCGTTATACTCGAAATACCCTTCGAATTAAACAACAATACTCTCAAACATTCATGCATCTGTCAAAAGAGAGAGTGAGAGAGAGATAGAGAGACGGACAGAGCGGAGAAAAGAGGCGGAAAATAGCACCGACCAAAAAGAAGCAACAAGCGCGTAAGCGCGTCGGATTATAAGCCGACGGATATGAGTTTACAGCCGTGATAAGCGTTTTCAGCAAACTCGCGCTTTGGCTTGAATAATTGAGACGCTTGCAAAAATATGTAAATTTGTCGGCTTTTTCCCCTCTCCGGTATGTGCCTGAGAGTGAGGGGGCGGAGAGCTGCGCGATGTTACTCTCTTCCGTAGAATGGTCAAGAAGAGGGAAGCGTGGTGGGGAGAGGGAAGTGATGTATGTCCGTGGTGCATGACCCTAATTAATAGGGAGGCCACGCTCGCGATGCAACTGTCCGGGCTTGCGGTGAATTATACAGCGGAGAGAGACCCGACGAGCGCACACCGAGTGGATTACTTGGGGTGCCGAGGACTCGCTCTCGCTCTCTCTCTCTCATAGGGGGAAATGCAAACCAATGTTTCGTAAACATCGACACGTGCGGGAATTTGTTGCTGACTATTGTTAGTAATTACTGTTAAAATCATATCGTGGCTATTTTAATTGATATTGGATGATATTCGTTAAACTTTGGAATTTGAAGTAATCATATAAATAGGGCAGAAATTACAGCCTACGAAGATGGAGAATGTAAAAGTTGGATTGATTTAAGAATATTTGAATATTCAGTATTTTTTTGTGAATTTTTGATATTTATAATTTGTTATTATAAAATAAAAAATAAGAAAACGAGTCCAGGTGGTATTAAAAATAGGATTGCCAACATAAGTAGTCCATATGAACATAAGCTGGACAACTATTAACGAAAGTTTCAGTTGAAAATGATTGTAGAAAGCGGCAATTTAAAACTCACCTGATCCTTCTCGACGAAACCGACGAACATTGTTCGCTCGATTTCAATCGGCTGACCCGAGCGATCGTAGAGGGCGATAACGAAGTGGAAGAAGTTGCTTTTCCTCAGATTGCTTGGTGGCTGCTTCTCGAAGTGAGCTCTCCCGATAGCATTTCTGCAAAAAGAAAAAATCACAAATGGCGCATTTTGTTTAGCGTTTTTAAAAATCTTCGAATTTTATATAATTGAATAAAGCTTTTTAACAAAAACCGTACGTGTGTGTGTGTGTGTGTGTGTGTGTGTGTGTGTGTGTGTGTGTGTGTATATTACATACGGTAAGGGAAATGGATTTCTGAATTCCGAAACGTCGAAGATTTCTTCAGATCAGGTGCAAAATGAGGCAAGATAAACGGGTCAGTGCATGGGACGCAGGTGGCTCTCGCGATGCCTTAAAATCCCATTAAGGTCTCATGTGTTGAGATTAGACGGTCGATGCCGACGCTCTCTCGGACTCTCTCTTTCTCTGGCATCTTTGAGTAATGGCACGGAAAGTCTCCCTTTCCGAACTGACCCTTAACACCCCCGTCCTATTCTTCAAAGTACGTGTATATATATTTGCGAAAATTTCTTTTTCCTTCTCCCACCAGATGTTCATTGAAATTTGAGTGCCAATAGAATATAGGCACATGAAAATTGCTAGGACTTATTTTACAGCCTCTCTTTCCGCGATACGGAAATTGTCCATCGAGAACAAAAATGTTAAGCTACATTGTCCGACGCATGACCAAGCGTAAAAGTATACAATTAGCCCTACCGCATGAGCATATGAGACACAAAAGATGAAAATCGTGGCAGTAGGTTTTTCAGCGCCCGGAAAAATACCAGGAGACGCGGAAGCGCATCTCGTCGGAAATCTCTGGAGGCCAGCCATCGCTCATCTTCGGATCCACCGCAAAGATACATCGGGAATCGTAACCGGCGCGCACACGAGCGCGCATACATACACGGTATACGTATAGCTAGAGAAACAATTTGGCAACAATTTTTCAAAGTGTCAAAATAGCGTACCCACGGGACATTTCCGCCACCAGCATGATGGCGGTTATAGCCACGCCTTTTGAAAAGTCGCACGTTTGACGAGTCGTGAAAGGTTCGTACGTTTCCTTTTCTTCCTCCCTCCGACGTGATGATGAGTGTTCTTGGAAACTCGGCTTTTTGTGCGATTGCCAGTGAATTTTTTGGAGGTATCTCCATGATTTTAGCTTAGTCAGTTTACGGCTTCACCTCGTGACTTTAAATGCACGAAAAACAAAATAAATCTGTATTCTAAGAATGAACATTCTTTTATTATGTTAATTTATTGCGGTGGTTGGAAGTGTAGTTTTTTTACTATACGGAGCGATAGATCAAAGTATCACTTGGAATCCAAGGTTTGTTATAATTATAATTTTTGTATCACATAAAAAGCTTTAAATATGGTCTTTCAATAATCGTATATTGTCATTAATCTATGATTAATCAATGATTGATCTTCAAAATTTGTTTCAAAGTATACTGCAAGAATCTTATCAAATGCCAAACTAGAAATAAGATTAGCAACGTATGTATGAGTTTTTTTTTGTATGCATGAATTTCTATAATAAAATGTATCACTGATATATTTGCAAATTTACACGACAGACATACCCTTGGCACTCGGAACAAAAACCTCCAAAAGCATCAATCATATAATTTTCAGGTCAGCTCACCCAACTACGGTGCGACAATAAAGAGAGAGAGAGAGAGAGAGAAGCAACACACCACGAATTGCAGCATACCCAATCAGTCGTTTATTTACGAGAAAAACGATTGCGGCCGGAGCAATCGGAGATGCATACGCTGAAAATCGGATTATCGGTGGGCGCCGCGCGCAGTTGAAACAGAAAAAAAAGGCGCGTCGTGCGAAGCTGAAAATGAATAGCGGCAGTTTTGCGAGCGCATTTGCGAGAACAAACGATGCTATCGGCGCCGCGTTTGTCACGGGTGGGCGAGGTTGGCTCTGGCCAAATGCGCGTATAAGCTTGCCCCCCCCCCTCCTCCTCTTTCGCGAAAACATCGATTATTGCGACGTCGATATGTTTCTCTTAGCGGTGATCAATTTGCGTATTGTGCACGCGAGCAAACGAGAGGGGTGTAGCATGCCACGTACTCGTTCGCTCTTTTTTCTTCTCTTTTTTTTCGCTGAATTGATAAATTGTTGTTTGCGCGAGAGTCTGCTCGTTCTTTTCGTTTTTATTGCTAGTCTGTTTGATTTTGACGTTTATTGAGTTCATTCGACTGAACACAGAATTTCTTTTTTCTGTTTGCTGATCTGCTTATCATCCATTTTACGCTGACTTGATTAAGGCTATTTTTTTTTTATTAATATAGTTTTATTAAGTTATTTTTCAGCGGTTGACTGTGCATTAAAAAAAAATTAGCTTTTGCTACTTGTACTAAAACGAGTCTATTAAATTTAGCTATCGACTATCACAAAGCTTGATTCAAGTAAACAAAAGATTTTTTCATATTTTCGAAATTGTTAGCGATATTAAAATGAAAAATATGAAAATATTGAAGCACAAATGATTACAATAAATAAGCCAAACTATCTTTTTCCTCGCAGCGCTATAAAATTTGCAAAAAAAAGTATTAAGACATATCTCGAAAGCCTGTCTATAAAGTGGTGGCGGTAGCGTCGATGAAAAAAATATGACGAAAATAAAGTGCGAGACATACGAGGTGTAAGCAAGCGCGCGCGTCGAGAGCCGAAGGGTGGAAAATTCTCTCTCTCACTCTCTGGGCTGAGGAGGGATTTGATATAGTGTCGGTGTCGATAATTATCGGTGGCTGATTAACCGGCCAGCGGTTCGCGCCCCATAACTCTTGCCATCCGATTATTTCGGCCTTCCTCTACCTCTACCTTCTCTCTCTCTCTCTCACACACACATCCACGCGCGCAAACATAGTCCGCGCACAGCTATTCGTGTGACACGATCGACTCTCTCGCTCGCTTGTGCGCTTGCGTTTGATTAATTACCGCGATTAGATCATTAATTCCGTGTAATTAAACGGGCCATCGAAGCGCGAAGTAAATAATTGACGTGAAATTTTCTTTGGGCGCTGAAAATTTTACGCACACGCCAGCGTTTAATTGGGAAACTGTATGTACATGCACGTATAGAGCCAAAGTGGTTGCAAGCGCGCTTATCCAATATTCGCGTAATATTGCGCTTCGAGCCGTTTTCACCGGCAATTGAACTCCGAATAATAGTAATCGTGTACCCCAACCCCATCCCCCTTCCTTCCTTCCGCTACTACAGTACAGTTGCCGATACTGCTACGAGCTCGCTCGATTAAACGCCTATTTTTCGGAGCTCGTGCGCGCGAAATCGCAAGCTCGCGCGTTTTATTAAACTTTCTATCACTGTATTTATCTTTTTTCAAGTTTCTACTTCCAGAGGCTAAATATTTGTTAGAAATTGCGGATAGATTCGGAAAAACGAGCCGTTGTAGAAATTTATTTTTGAAAACCGTTAAAATGGGCATATCATTTAATTCGAAAATAAGAAGCGTCAATGGGACTTGAGCGAAAATTTAAAAAGTTGAATTAAATTGATCATAATTAAGGACCTAAAATAAAAGCTTATTTCAATTCCTTCTCATATAACCAGTGAAACCTTATAAATATTGAACGTAAAATGGAATGTGCACTGCACATGCATGATAGCTACCAACAGCGAAACGGTTTAGCAGGACGAGAGCGCGCCGCTCGACGTTGGTTGCTTGTTTGTCAGTTTGTGCACCGAAACGCGCGTATAGAGAGAGAGAGAGAGAGAGAACGCGACACCGAGGTGATAATTACGCGGCAGCGATCCTCTCGCGTTTATCGCACAATTTGCCACGTGCAACGGGTTTTGCAAGCTCGATAACCATGTTCGCACGGCGGCCCGACGACCGGCCTGTTGTATTTTCTTCCCCCTCTGCTTTTCATTTCGTTATCTTTTATGCGCGCGCCTGCATAAAAGTGGTTTTTATTAAACAGCCTATTAAGCTTTTAATTTTAGCTCGCAATATCGTTTTGCGCGCGATTGAGGAATCGCTTGGTGTCGTTCGTCGTAGAACGATAACGACGATGATGCGGCGCGATAAGCTTTACGATATGAGCAAAAGTACTCGAAAGTGAGTAAGTCGAGCGCAACAGCCGCAATAGCTTTCATTTCCAGTTGCCGTGAGGTTTCGCGACAGCTTTACGACCAATTTCAGCGAATAAAGCGCTATGGGTGCCCGCTCGGAAAGAAAGTCGCGATCCGCGCGGCCGCGCACGTCAATTTACATATGTAAAACGCGGAGAATCGAAAAATCTCGAGCGATATCTCCTGTTAACTCGCAGCGAGCGCGTGCTAACAATCGACTCGGTAAGTGCAGAGAAAGCGCATTCGCCGGGCCTCCGGACGACGACAACAGCGAAGCAATCGGTCGAGCAGAATCGCTATAAATCTGACCGGCGTTTGGACGACGCCGGTGTTACGGGCGCTAATGCACAGTCTATATTTATGTGGTAGGCTGGCGTGATTCATAGGCCACGTTCGCATAGCAGTAGAGCCGCAGCTTCGCGCGCAGATAATGAGCAATTTGTAATATATCCGAATATAATCCACTCGCTTGCGCGCCGTCTTGATTTACCGCCGTCAAAGTCTAATACGTATTAGATCCGCCGGCACGGATAGCTTGCATCTCCTCTTTCGCTTCTCTTGCTTTTTCGTACTTAACGGCTGCTTTAAAAGCTTCGCTGCGGAAACTCAGGCAAGAGTTTTAAAACGCTTCGGAAAGCTTTCGCAAGCTCGCGCCGAGCAAAAGACCCGGCTCCTTAAACTCCGTGTCAAAGTAAATTGTTTACTTTATCGCGCCGCGCTTTCACTCGGAGTTTCATATTCGCGCGAGCTTGTCCTTGCTAATTTTCCAAGGTGTCTACGATTCACTCGATTATTCATTTGAGATCGTATTTTTAAGCAGATCCGTGAAAAACCATTGGCATCTATAACATAATCATTAAATTAGCATATATATTGGCCATTTCTACATTTCCATAAAACACAAGCTTTCAAGAACTGTACACGACCAATTAGTAGCCACGAAACCAAACAACCCTTCTGAATTTGGTGCTTTTCAAACGCTCAGGCGAAGACGATTAAGTAAAAAAAAAAAGAAAAATAGTCGGGGGCACGCGCACGGAAAAGGCTTTTAATTCGCATCTAACAAAATGATTTTTCAAGGAGCAGATAGGGCTTTAAGCGGCGCCGCGATTAAAATTGCATCAGTTTGCGAAACCGCGCAACTCGCGTCTACGAGGCGGTTAGTTAGCTCGTGCGGAGTATATACGGTACGCGGATTAGCCGAGCGTACAGTCGAGTTCTCTCGCTGCTCCTCTTTCTCTCGCTCTCTTCTGCGCTGACGGACTCACTGTGCTCGCACACACATACGCGCGCCAGTAAACTCTCGCTTTATCGTCTCGCGACGCCGAGCTGCACGCTGCTTCGTCGGCCGAGTCACGCGCGCATCAAACTCTTACGTGTACTTGACCATTTGCCACTGTACTTTGCGCGAATAGAGCCCGCGTTCACCTTTTATTGGCTCGTTTTCAAGTTTCGTCATTCAATTGTCGAAGCTTTACCTTTTTTCTGGATTCACCGCCTCGTTCGTTACGGTTCATTTTATTTATTTATTCGACCGATTGTTTTGACAGAATAACCAACAGAGGGAGGTCATCCAATATTTAACAGTGAGTGGGGGAGACTCCAGATTTTTTAGCGCGTTAAAGAATTTATATTTTCAGCGAGAAACATTTTTTTTAGAGATCACTTAAAATTTTTCCCTAAAGTATATTACGAGCTATTAACACGATGATAATGAAATTCTGATGTTTCCAACGCTTAATAGGATCCCAAGAGGTTTGTTTTGGTTGAGTTTGAACTTGCACGTGTTCTGACGCTCAGAGTAAGCATCCGACGGACAGGTGACAAGTGCTCTCTCGTTATCTCGAGGTTCTTTTTGCGATGACACTGATGTATATACTTTCGACAATTTCACTGAACACTATTATGTTTATGGACGATTTTCCGCATCGGACTCTCGAAATTTTTTGACTAATACCGCAGACTTTCGCTCGTAATAAATGTACTTACGTTCCATTGTCGGCGATCGCCGGCTGTGGCCAAGCTCTGGGCACGGGTTCCTCCTTCAGTATCTGTCTCATATCCTGAGGAGCAAACACAAGCGGCGCCCTTGGATGATGATGTGGCGGAGGTGGCGGTGGCGCAACACTTGCCCCGTATAACTTTCGTCCCCAATGTCCTTCCAACTCGACGGGGCTGCCGGCACCAGCAGTCGTGCCAGTGCCACCACCAGCAGCACCGAGGCCCAGCCATGGTGACCCGCCAGCACCCACAATCGTGGAGCTGGGCAGGAGGCTATTCCACTCGTCGGAGCGCGTGGTGAGGCCGTATTAAAAACACTGTCCGCAAAGTGAGTATGAAACTGTGGACAACTACGTGAACACGCGCGAACGAACGAGCACTGCAGCCTCTGCGATCGCGCGCGCACGAACGAAACAGTGCTGACAACAACTTTTCAAGCAAACGTCATGCTTTGTTTTGCGAAAGCAAGAACCACGTGGATTTTGTGTTCGACTCTCTCTCTCTCTCTCTCTCTCCCTCTCGCAGTCCGTTGCTGTGTGCGGAGAGCAGTTCGAGAGCGTTTATCCCCCGAGTGTGTCGTTGGAGCTGCCGCGGCGGGCCGTTCAGAGAGTCCCCAGTCGCGCGTACGTCGCACAGCCACGGCACTCGCTTGTCGAATGTGTCACGGGCCGCCGCCGCCGCCACTGCCACCAAACGCAAGCGGCAGCACTCCCGTCGATCCCAGCGGGTATGCGCGCGCGCACCTTTCGCCACTGGCGACCTGCCCACTCGAGGGCGGAGTCCAGCCGCGGTCCCACGACCAATCCGCGAGGTGCTCGCCGTCCAATAGGACGCCAGGCCGAACGAAAGCGGGCGAATGACATTGTCGTGGGTGGGCGACGCTGGCGCCGCAGCGGGGACCTGTCGAACGTACCAGAGCGGCATTGCGGCTTTAGCCGTCGTGCGGGGATGTTGGGGCTTACACTCGCGCTCCAGCTCTCGTTGCCAACGAGGGATGCGGGGATGCATCGTTCGTTCAAACAGATTACATACATTCTTTTTTTTCTTTTTCGATAAGGAATTTAGAATTCGTTTTGTGGCGATTGTTTACTTCATGTGAAAAATGTTGTATAGGAAATTCCAAAATAATGTTTCACGTTTGGTACTACGATTGACCAGTGTCATTGTTAAGAACATTCATAATCGTCAATTTTTATTATCGGTCAAGGGGAATTTACGTTCACCAATAAAAAAATTTTTATAGAAGATGTTTACTTCTTCAAAGATAATTGTTTCGGGTATAATGAAAATTACGTTTGGATTAAATATTTTTACAAAATTTAGTTGCGAGTATACATTTTCTAATATGCATAGCTTAAACAAAGGAACTTGCCCTCCGGTTCACGTAAAAAATCAACCAATACCTCAAGGAGACTAACCCAAATAAATACCTAAGAATGTACTTAGAATGTAGATTAACATGGCCAGATTATGTTTGGATCAAGCAACAGCAACTTAAACTACCGTTGTGAAAATTTTACTGACTGAAAATTAATAATAAATTATTAATATATATATGCATTAATAAACCAATAGGGACTTACGGAATGCAATTATTTATTGAAAAATTTCAAAATAAAGCCCTGAGATCCATCGCAAATACACCGTAATTCATTACGAATGAGATATTAAGATAAGACATTAAGATGACAATCGTAAAAGATAAATAAAAGTTATATACAAAAAGTACACAAGTAGAATATTTGAACTACTAAATCGTTCGGTTCCATAGAAGACCTATATCATTACAAGATTCAACAAATATGAAACACTATATTTACAAATCTAATACTTGTATTATCTATTTATTTATACACATAATGTAAATATGTTGTGATAAAGGTACGCATCACTGAAGAAGGACCTGCATGTATAGTTTTATAAAATGTATTTATCGTTGTTTTTCTAAACAAATTGTTAACAAGAATTGTTGAAAAAAAGTAGGTTACTCTTGGTACCAACAAATATTAATTATTTTAGAATTTCCTAAAAAATTATATTTATTAGTATATCTTTGAATATTTCGTAAAATTTAAACTTTATTCAATTTAAAACTGTTACCGTCACCAAATGAGCAAAAGAAGCTTTTCCAGGTTTCTTATTAAAGAAATGAATTAGTCAACTTGAAACAATTTCAGAGTATCCATAATAAATAAAGAAATCACCGAAAAGAGCTTTTTTTCTTAAATCGTCTTGGAAATCGAGGAAAGAAAATAATAACTGCGAGTAGAGTTTAACATTTTTTTTGCACAATGTAAAGGACAATTTTCACGAAAACAGCTCTTTATGGCCATTTGTTTACGTACAATGAATGTTCTGAAAAAGTTTCAAATTGACTTCTTGATTTGTTTACGAATAAAGTTGGAAAAACTTATTTTCCTCAGTCTGTAACGGCAACAGAGTAATAATCATTTGGTAAATGAAAACTTTTATTTTACAATCATAAATAAATTTGTAAATTGTTCAAAATGATTATTATTCACATTTTATTTATGTTATCGAAAGATACTCAGATCTTAACGTGAGATTCGTATCCAAGTGAAGTCAAATCAATCAACACTTAAAAAACCACATAATCTCAATAAAAGGATAGTGGAAAAGGTTCACCTCGAATCATGTAACATCTAAGACAAGTCATGATATCGAAATTGCGCGTCCGCGTCTATACGATTTCTTGTCAATTGGTAATGTTGAGCCTTATTTATGTCCTCGGATTAGAGCGGTTCCCCGCTCGCCTCGTAGTGTCGATAAGTCTTGGTAAGCATACATCGCGTGGACAGACGTCAACTCTACTTGAGCCCTGGTCAAGTGGGGTGGGACGCTAAAGAATGCGCTCGGTGTACAGACACGTTCGAGGCAAAGTTTCTCTGTAGGTGCGCGCAGACTAATTTATTGATTCATATACGATACTTGGTTGCTTTATTTCATTACTAAGAAGGGATGAACAAAATTTTCAATAGCGTAAAGGTAAAGAAAATGATTGATTTAACAATTCAAATTTTGCCCACTACACTCTCTTCTTTGTGAATCATTGCGAAAAATATGTTGGCTTTATTAATCTCTCCCTTGCATCTCAATAGTCTATTTCACCAAAATTGCAAAGTTGCTAATTTCACAGTCTAGCAAATTTATTTTGTGAAAAAGTTTCTCAAAAACTGTTGAAGCTCAACTTTTGCGCAATGTTGTACTCATCTTGACGTCGACTGAACGTGCAGCTAACGCACGCGCGCGCGTACGACACCTCGAGATCCCAACGCGGCTTTTTGTCATATCAATCACGACGACACAGCGCGCGCATACCCACCTAAGGAAAGCAAGCACTTTGACCGAAAAACGTACACTCGCAACGCGACGATTATCTTGCCGGCAATTGCCATCTTTGCGATTTTCTTTTTCCGTCTGCTACTGTTTTTTTTTGTTGTTGTCACATCTGCCGACTATGGATATTGAAGGAAAAAGACAGTCTGTTAATCTTTCTTATACGTAGTGGTTTATTTTGATTCGCTTTGCGGTGCCAAGAAGTTTCTATGAAATGCGCGCGTGACGGGAATACGTCATGCACTTCTTCTCATCTTATTTGAGAGTCTTTCATTCATTTCAAATAACTTGCGCTACTATACTTTCTCGTGGTATTTTAAATAGTACATAATTATTATTAGGACACAAGATTTACATAAAATTAGAGAAATTTAATGAAGGTATATATTAAGATAAATATTCATTTTCAATTCAAATTGTCGATTTTTATAGCTGATGAGCATTGAAGATCTGTCATTGAAACATTCCAGATAGTATTCAATTGATCATAGGCGTTTTTTTTTTCTACATTTACATGATTTATAACAAGACTTCGCTTGTTTCATTAGCTGATAAGTATGATGTAAAGATAGTTCCTAACGGAAATTCATCTTATTATCATCTTATTATGACGCGTGATCTCAGTTTTCCAAAACATAATGGAATATTCGAATGATCACGTAGAAAAGAAATCCATTAATGCTTCTTTCACCATTATCACATAAACATGCAAATCAAGAACTTATTCATTTACTGAAGGCAAAGTACGTTCCCTTCATTTTCCCTCCATCACGTATATGAGATGACCGATATCAACGTCTTACATCCCGTCATTATATGGTACATCCTCCGTAAAATATGCATATAACCTGTGGATAGCGGCCAACTAAGTGATGGATCGGAGTTTTCGTGAAGAGAATCTTGTCTCTCGCTCGGGGACCATAGCTAAAGCCCCAACACGAGCAGGCACTCGCACTCATTATACGCCGCAGTACCCAAGACTTTACGAGTCGCTTTATGCTCTTCGCGATCGTACATGTTTAGAATGGTTGCTATTCGCGCGAGTAAAGAGCTCTTTTTCCTCCCTGGGCCACCATGACTTTTAGTATGATTCTTGGAAGAGGATGCGTTTTAGCGTTTTTCAAGTTTTCATGTTCAATTGATGGAATCAAATCGTTGGTTTTATTTTAGTAAAATAACAGAAATAGTTAGCTATAGGTGGCTATTGAAAAATACATTGAAAATTGCTTATTGAGCTCATACTAGTTAGTAGATTCAATGATTAATTTGATAATCAAGTGGCGGTACATTTTCCAGGATGAGCGAAGTATATTTGAGCTATATTCTTATAACAAGTTGAGAACGAATTGCAACACTTAATTATACAATCATATCCCCACAAATGTCTTTACCCTCTGAAACTCAATAAAGAATGGCACTCTCTACGCTCTCGCGGCGCGATTGTTTGGAAATGCAAAGTGGCTACAAGTATAAGGGGCGAGTCAAAGATATCTTCACTCGACGAGACACAGGGAGGAAGATAACAGGGAAGCGTAGAAGATTAAATTACCCGGTACGAAGCGTATTATCCCTACTTGATGGACTTTTTTTACCTTCGCGTGTATGTATCGCAACTCAATCACGAAAATTCGTTTTCGATGTCTATATCCCTCCCTTTTCTTCTTCTTCTCTCTCTCTCTCTCTTCGCGGATGATCTTACACGTTTATAATCCAGACTCTTTTTACAAGTCGAAGATTAATAGCACTCATCAGTCGGGGGACCAGAATACCTTTCTCCCTTTTCTTTTTTTTCTTCACCCGCACGATTGCTCCCATAAATTTATTCAAACAAATTCTATAATTACTTTTTTTCCTTGCTTCCTTCGCCCGAGACAGATTTATACCGGCTCTTTTCTTAGCTCCATCTCCTCCCGAGCGAAGTTTACTCGAGCTTATCAAGTTATTGCTCGTTGGCTGTATAGCGCGAACTTGTAATTTCTTCTCGGGCGGAATGAAAAATTCACGTTGCTGTGCTGCTGATGCCGTTCGCTGAAAAGTTAATCGAGCGTCAAAGGGGAGTGACAACACACGCGAACACGCATCTGTTACTTTTGGAAATTGATGATTCCAGCGTTACATTGTGGCGGTGTGCTTGAATTAACGAGAGAACTTGTGTGTCTGCGCGTGTATGCCAACGCGCGCGTGACCAAAACCGGTTTCAATTTTTCTAAGAGCTTGTCGAAGACATGTGATTCATGGGATCGGTTGACTGTCTCCAACTATGGATGATTGCGTGCGATTTGTTTATTTGGATTGTTGGAAGGAAACGAGATGTATTAATTTACAAGAAAACTAAATAATTAATTTACAGTAAACAGTTTGTTTACTTTTAACTTGAATTTACCGAGATAGATTTTCTTAATCACGCTTTGTTACCAATTCATGCGACGAATCTGTAGTATTGACGATATTTTGATTGACCAAAATTTTCTACCGTTTGGATATAGCCATCTTATCTTTCTTCTGGCTCTGGACATTCTCTTTCTGTGCATGTTGCTGATTTTCCATCTTCATGGCAAGTGCAGTCGTTACAATTAGAATAAAAGGGTTTTCCAGCTGGACATTCCATTCCGTCCGCATAATTCACTAGACAATTTTTTTTTCAAATTCTTATTTGTTTATTACATAATTTGTATTTATGATGAGACTTTCAAATACTTACATATTTGTGGAGTACTACAACCCATTTTAGTACAGCCTCCTAAAGTCCCACGTATGCAACGGCAATCATCACAATCTAGGTAGAAATATTTAGCCGGGCATGGAGTATGTTGCTTCCAATTAACTGCAAGTAAGCCATAATTTTCCTTTGAGATAGAATTGATAAAAAAAGTAATAAAATCGACAAAACGAATATCTTTTTCACGTACAAATACGTGGTTTGTCATCGTACTTTATGGCACTCCACCATTCGTCTCTATCTATAAAAAGTGTTCATGCAACCTTTAATGGTACATTCATATTAATTATTAGAAAATTTTACCTAGTGTTCGCATTGATGCATCCGAAACTTGAATAACATAAATAGAATTCACTAAAACTGCAATAAGAAAGTAGTACATTTATTTTTATATTACTATGTACCTTAATCAAGCGTAACTTTAGTTAACACATCACACAATACAATAACTACTACAAATTATAATACAAATGGTTCTGCTTATTGCTGTTACACACATTTTTTAATAATCCACTATACTATGTTTTTTCGCACAAGCATTATAATATGCAATTACGTAATAATTGTATTATTACTTACGGATAATCAAAGTTAAAACTTTGATTAAAAATCGAGCTGATGTGTAGTTTTTCCTCATTATCTTGACAATGTTCCTCGTTGAAATAGCTGCAACTATTATCGTCAAACATCTTTTATAGCACTTCGTCAACATTGAAATTCTAATCAAATCCATAAAATACATAGAAGTAGAAGCTGATTTTCATGACACTGGTTTTATATTATCCAAGGTGAACCGCATTGAAATTAATACAAAAATTACGCGGATAGAAACTCGGTTTATTATTCGTTCTTACTTTTAAAAAATAGTTATTATAAAGAATCTAAATTCGAAAAGACACAAATTTTGTAAGTTTAAAGAAATTAAGCAATACTTCTAAAAAATAATACTTATACATTTTTATGTTTTAAATGTATTATTAAATTGCATTGATTAATTATAATTATATTCAAAAATTTAATAAAATCAATTAATTATTATAATTGTATTGAAAAACTAAGTCAGGTAAAAAAGTATAGCTCTATGAATATAACTACCTTCTTACAAAGTGTAATCATAAAATCTCTTGAGCCCAGCGCCGTATTCGTCAAAAAATGTTTTTTACAAATATAAAATGAACTAAATCGATGTAGGGTGAACGTCAATTTTATAGTATTATTGATTTTAGAAGTTAAAAAAACGTTCAATATCGATTTTGCGTAATATTTATTTTAGTATGAGAAAGAATTTGTTTATTTTGAACATCTAGTTTATTAAATGAACTATTATACTTAAGGGCATTTATTTTCTTTACAGGTTGCTGATTTTTCATCTGCATAACAGTTACACTCATTACAGTCAGGAGAAAATTTTCCCACAACAGAAAATAATATTCCATTCATATAGAAAGCTAAAAAAATGCAATTTTACTAATAGTATGACGCATATATTTTGGGTACTAATTAACAATATAAGAGAGAAGTAAGTTGAACTATCTTTCAAAACATTAAAGTCATGATTTTATTCCAAAAAAATTATTTTTGAGCTGCTTTTTACTTTAATAAATTACGACTGCTACATAACGCTAATTTCATTCCTATTTTCAATGAATTATCAAAATATTTACGGATATTCGAAGGAGGACAAGCTATTACAATTCAACACAAAGAATGGAAAATATAAATATTTTTTATATTTCAAAATATTTGATAAAAGACATTGAAATGAGTCGAAAAGAATGTAAATACCTACAAATGCGAGGCGTGGCTATTTCCGACGCCACCCCCATGTTTACAGGAACTGCACATAAACATCGAGTAGTATAATTTTATTGATCTATATCAAATTAAAATTGAGTATACTTGAGGAGAATTAACAGTGAAAAAAGTGCTATATTTTTAGCTACTGCTGATATATGGGATAAAGTTAAAACTTGCAGAATGATTTTTATACTTATATTTTTATAATTGATATCGACATTAAAATTTCTAATAGTTCTTAAATATGCAAGAAAGGAGGAGAATTTTCCAGGTATCGTAAAATTGATGTTTACATCTTCATAGTATAAATTTTGTAAATTGATTGGATAACCGAATCCTATACAAAAGAAATGTATCAACTAGCTATATTTTTATTTATCTGCAATACTTATTAACTAACATAATTTTGTAATTCATTAATGAAAATCAGGTATTAGTATTTTTTTTTAATGAACAACCTTTATGTCATATGTTTCCTTTGAAATTATAATAGAGTTAAAAAAATATGTAGAAATAGGAAATTGATTATACGATGCTATTTTTGGTATTTCCCCATATTGCAGTAGTACATAGACCGCTTTTAGTTTATTACTCGCTATATTCTTAACTTTGAAAGGTAGTTAGTTATTACACTACGGTATGATATTCCACTATACAACTATTACGCTATTATTGATTTCTATTGAGAAATATACATAATAACCATATGAAATCATTGATCATTAAAAACAATCACTCAATGTTCTAAATAATTTGATCTAAATGAGAAACGCTAACTTAAAAAATTATTTTTTTGAAAATTATAATAGTCCATTGTTTTCTATATTATGCTGTTATATTAATTAAAAAATGTTTTCTGTGACAGAATATGAATTGCCATCAAGTGTACGATAATTACATGTTATTATACATATCAAAAGTTTGAATAAAATACCAAGGTAAATTTCGTATAAAACTGTTTTATTCCCTTTAAGTTAAGATAAAGGAACTTAAAAAATCTATTTTAAACAATAAATTAAGATCTTTATTCCACTGATTTTATAAGTTTCCTATTACCAGTATGGATGAAAGTTATACTCACTATGGTAATATGTGAATCTTTTTCCAACAGGACATAATGTGTCTTTTACATAGAGACTTAAATATATCATAACAATAAAACGGCTGTAATGATTTGAGTGGATCAATTTATTCAAAAATTCCCAACGTTTCGGACAAATCAATTTTCCATTTTTAAAAGCTAGGATAAATACATAATTAACGTTACAACCTTATAATATATAATGAAAACAAATAAAACAAAATTCAAATGATATAGTTGCCAAGATAAATAAATAGTACACTAGTGCATCACAGTCAATAATTCGTACAGAGTATGTGTACTCTGTTAGAAAATTGATTTTTCCGAAACGTTGGGAATTTTTAAATAAATACGTTCACTGAGATCACTATAGCTTATTTATTATTTTTATTATTATAAGCTTTCACGTGAACGCTCTAGCCTTGTCAACAATTTACCTTGATTTCACATCTTATACATTTTTATTTAAGTACATTTAGCATAAAAGATAAAAATCTTCTTTGACATTTAATTTGAAAAATATCTCGAAAATGCATGTTAATCAAAGATGTAATAATTTTTAGCATTCTTTCTTTGTACATGTTGCAGATCGTCCATCTTCGTGACAGTTGCAGTCATTACAGTCAGAAGTGAATTTTTGTCCGGCAGGACACAGCATTCCATCCATATAAAGAGCTGAATAAAAACATTTATCAATGATATTCATCATTTTGCAGTAAATAAAGCCATCAGTTTTCTGACAGTGAATATTTAGTATAGGTATATATACGAAATATCATGCAATATTTTTATTATAAATGTCTAACATTAATATTTTTCTTAAATGCACGTTTTACTATAAAATTGTTCATAAATATTCTGGAAATAAGACTTACGGATATTTGGAGTTGGACACCCTATTAAGGTGCAAGCTGCCAATTTACCATCTGGACAATTGCAAGTGTTGCAATCTAACATAAAATATGGAGCTGGGCAAGGCTCGCCTGCCTTTAAGTTGACTATAAATAAATGTTGTTTCAAACAATAAGATGATTAATAATACATAAATTCATTAATAAGCAATTGTAATACATACAAATTCGCGGGACTGATGTTCCAGATGCAATGCCGAATATTGTAGGAACTAAAAACATTGATATATTAAGTAATTAATACAATGACGCTTCTTAATTTGTCAAATTAAACTTAATAATACTTACGGAGAATTAAAAGTGGGACAGCAGCTACGTATTTAGTCATTTTCGATGTTCGGTATGTTTCCTCGACAAAGCTTGATGGACGAGTAATTGAAATTGAGACTCACGGAAGGAGTTTTATACTTGAAAGCGGTATTGAAAATTTTAATAAGATTCACAGATTAGTGGAAAGGAAAAATCTTCCGCGTTTTTTAACAATCGTTTTTGTTACTTCACATCACGTTTTATGTAAATTAACCAGATAGACGCAATGAATTCAAAAATAAAAAAACATTAAATCTCCAATGCACATATTTACTTGGCATTTAAATACAGCTGAGTCATTCCAAAACTGCTATAATGCATTACAATTACATATCTCTAATATTTTTTGTTTAAATATTTAAATTCTATTTAAAGATTAAAGAATGCCTTATTTTTAATTATGAAAAAAATAATGTGGAAAATTAATTAGAAAAAATTGATACGTGATATGATACACTTGTACGCTATGCATCCTGCATCTATTTAATTTCTCGCAGCCGATTGATTGTTTTTCTATGTACGATATTCAAATACTGATTAGAGCTGGAGTGAGTTGACGTTTTTTATGAGTCATTGCTAATTGCAAGGTAAAATGCATCTTACAGTATTTGATGATTTATATGATATTTAAAAATATACTGTTTTTTATGAATTGTATTTTATTATGTAAAAGTTTGAAATAATAAAAATACTTTTGATTTTTATTTTTCATCATGTAACAATTTTATTACATAGTTGATTACATAATATACATATAGTAGTTATATGATTTCATTATGAAGATGTGATAATTTCAAGACGAATACTATTTTTGTATATTATGCAAGTTTGCCAGGTAAATGACAAAAAAATCGCAATAGAAGCAATTGCGGTCGTTGCATTGTCGAAACTTGAATAAAAGGAATTGAGTAAAGAAGAGAATCCAATGACACGTAGTTGTAACCATATTTCCAATGCGTCAATAACCTACGCAACAAATCCTTACAGACGATTGAATCGTAGCTGCAGGGGTCTGAACTGGTGTTCCTTAAATACCTCGCTAATCTAATTCGGTTTTGCGCCGCTTCTAAATGTCCCAATGATGTCAAATGAACATCAGTGCGCGTGTGGAATGGTAGCGACCAAATCCAATTACGTGGCTGGTAAAAGAGGGAGCTTGTCGTTGCTCCCGAATAAATTCTCGGTCACAGTCCGGACTAAACCTATTACCCCACGCTATGATAATATTTCCGAACGTTTTCTCTCTTTCTCGGATGCTCGCGTATGTGTGTGCATGCGAGCGTGTGTCTGTATGTTTGCACTCGGCGCACAAGGCTCAAGTGGTTCCGCTGTGCTACGCACTAATTTTATTGAGGTCTGAGTTCTTATTATGGGATACTTAATTTAAAGGGTTTGAAGAAAATGTTTTAAAGTTACGATGAGTGAAAAATGAAGTATTTTCATGAATGTTAATTTATTAAGCTTATTAGTAAAAGTACATTACCTTTGTATGCCGAGATTCTATACGTACCAGTCTCTAAAAAACAGTTTATCATATCGCTATAGTTGGACCGTCATCACTAATCGAATACGTAGAACAGAAGACAAGAGCGTTACCATGAACGTTATTTACTGAGCTATTACTACTATTTACTTAATCATTGTTTAACTTTCAGTTATGCCATTAGAATCACAGTTCGCAGAGTCAAGTCTTCTATAATTGTGCTGTGCTTATTTCGTGTATAGGAATCGAAGGTTTGTTACAATATTATGCATTATTAATTTGAGTAGATATTTTTATGAGATTGCTGTATTTAATCGTACACATATAAGCGTATTTAATTTTTCAACCAAATATATTAATTTTATAATTAGATAAATGCCTTTTAAAAAAATTCGTAGTCCATAAAAGTTATTTCAATTGTTCTCTATCGTTTTATAAAGTATAAAAAATAGGAGTCATGTATAAGTAACAAAAACTACTTTGAAAAACTCTTTGCATAAACTTTCTAAAAGAATGACGCGCGCGCATTGAATCATCAAACCATCGGACAATACACATAATAGAAAACGAAACTCCTCAATATTTAAAGGCGCATAAAACGCGAGTGTACAAGGGAGAGCGGATTGTGTTACGCAAATCCAGCAAAAGAAGCCAAGTAATCCCCCGCTCACAAAGTGAATCCAAAACTAACACGTCGATTCTTTTTGTTGGTAGGGCGCGCGTGCTGCACTTGTCCCTTCCGTCGAAATGCGTTAGGGCGCGTGCATAGGGGTTCTGACCTGCCCCCTTTCCCCTCGCATTTCGTTCGTACCAACTCATTTTACCCACACACATGTATATTTTTCTTATGGTACTTACGATATGCTCTGTGGATTTTATTTTGTACATTGTTGGTGAGGTAATTTTTTCTATTTCTAATGCGTCACGCCAACAAATTTTTTCGTGCTTTGTTGTGTACTAGCTGAATATTATTAACGCTGTAAGTACTTTATATATTTTGATCAGCATATAATTGCTCTTTTAATGGAGACTCCGTGACGATTTTAAAAATTTTTTTTGCTTTATCTTTCATGAAAACGTAACTATGTAAGAAGAGAAGTGACAGATGTTATCCCTACAACTAAAGAGAGGAAATCTTTAATTCAATAAAGTGCATTACAAAGCTCGATTATTTTCAAATGTGTTTCTTATTCGCACGGTCTTTTATATTCCTACTAGTCGTAAGTTAATTAAAAAGATTCTTTGCTGCGAGTAAAACGTGAGGTTGATGCTAATGTGAGCATGCGCTTAGCAATTGCAAAATACGGAAAAGCCTTCAAAGATTTTTTATTTTCAAGTTTGAATATTCATTTATTTCTTGATATTTTTTACAGAATTAATTAACCTTATATTTTTAAAATATGTTTCATGTTTTGCAGGCAAGAACTGACTGGACAAGGTTTATTTGTGCAAGTTACAGGTTTTCTATCCTGATAACAAGTGCATTCGTTATACTTCAAATAAAACTGATGTTCTGATGGTCATAACTTTCTATGAATCCAATTCGCTATAAAATTATAATTTTATACAGTTATTTATTCATACAACTAAAAAACAAGGTTATCTAACGATCACGTTTATTCAAGATTTCATTATTACGGATACGAATTAGGGTCATTTGTTACCAACAACTATATATTAACGTTAACCGTACAGTGATTGCAAATTAATTATTATCACCCATATGTTAATTTGTTTATTCACTGATTTAGGGCGTGGCACAACCAATTCAAGTACAGCCAGCGGGGTGGATTAGATTTACCATTGTGACAAGAACAACGATTGCAATCTCTTTTGTATGACTTAAAATATACATAATTAAACATTAATTAAAATACATATAAAGACGAGATAAGTCGATATATTCATCTCTACATTTCCACCAATCATCTATTACTAGAATAAGTATAAATATGAATTGAAATATACTTGTAAAAATTAATATGACATCAATGTTATTACCTTTTTCTTTTTTTTCTTGATTTTTTTCTTGAACTACATAAAATTTGTGAATTATTACAAGCTTTGAATAAACAGGACAATGAAAAAATAAAATAAAACAAGTTATTTTAAAAGTTATTATATGACTTCTTCTCATTAATAAATTTGATTGTAAGGTCAAAACAGTAAAACTAGTTAAATTGCGGAACGATCGATAAGAATAAAATACATTAAACTCAACAAGAGCTGCTCTGGTATAGAAAAACAAACCAAACCATAAACCCACGACCACCCCAATTACCCGTCCGAAAAACAGAGATGCGCCGCTCCATCAATTATCCAGGCGTCGAGGATCCTTGAAAGCTCAGCATTTGGCGGTACAATAAGTCCGATCGGCTCATTGTAATGATAATGGGTTTCGAGGCTCTCCCGCCGTGCCGTCTGTATAACGAGCAGTGCAGATGCGCGCTTGGAGTTGAAAAGAGCTATAGCGCCGGACAACAGGTTGCAAGACAGACAAGACACGAGTACTCCCGCGAGGTGCTCTCTGTCTCTCGCTTTTTTCGCTGCTCTGAGCTATCATAATACTTCTTTCTGTTAGTGCACATGTTGGGTTCGTTAAACTGACTATTTAAGCGAAAAATTTGCTCGAGATACATGGTAATTTGAGAAAATTCTTTGTTTGCAAATCGTAAATGGAATTGAGAACGAGACTCATTTCCATAACCACTTGATCCTCCCCTCAGCATATACAAGTCAACCCTAAACTTTTTCCAGAAAAATGAAAAATACTGTTTGGTCACTTCTACGTTATGCGGAAAAAGCTCTTCAGGATCATGACGTTTTTTTCACGAAAAAATAAAAAAAAGAAGGAAAGCTAAACTACGTGATTTATCTGTCGTAATTCCCGTAAGGTCCAAGCGAATTATTTTTATATCCAGCAGGGTCGTGCGTGTGAATTAATGATAAACTCGGCAGTATGCTGACCGCGTCGTTATGATAAATGCGCCTCGATCGTCCGTTATTCAATCATATCTAGCGTTCGCGAGCATTTTTTTCTTTCTTTTTTACGAGTATTGTGCAAAACAGTGTCACGCGGATGGATTAATTTTTACTCCTGGGACAAGCCGGTGTCTGGAGATTTGCCTATATTACACGAGCATTCATCTTGCTGACGGTAGAATTGTCGACGGTGTGGCTTGACTACTCCACTGGAATTGATAATTTTTATTGGCTCCTTTGTATTCAATGGAAGATTTTTTTAGCTATACCGCTATAGCTTGAGCAACTTTTTAATTCTATAATTATTTCTTCATCGTTCGTATTTAAATTTTTCACAAATTATTTATTCTATTGGTAGATAAAGCTGTAACCTGTCTTAATTTTCCACTCGAACATTAGCTAGAAATTCGTGTATATTTCTGGCTTTTATTTTATACTTCATAAATATCATCAAAATCTTAGAATCTGATCTTTTCCTTTATTAGTTTTATTATAAATTTAGTTGCTCAGGGATAATGTATTATTGTTAGAAATATATATGTATCGTATGAATGAATGTCAATTTTTAATCAGGCGGGAAGTCCCACGCAAATTCAGGTCTCGTTG